ATATGGAACAATCATTTTCAATCTCTAACGTAAATTGGATATGTTTGTTAAAGTTATTGAAAATGTTTAATGTATTTTAAATTTGTGAAGTAGGAACAGAACATATAAGATCGTCTACAAATTTTTTAATGAAGGGTAAAGGGAAAGGTAATTGTGGAATAATAACATCCAGCAAATGGTCCAAAATAATAGTTGCTATTATGGGGCTGAGTGGACTACCCATAGGTGCTCCAAATATTTGTCGATAGAATTTATCATTCAAACTAAAATAGGTGTTCTCAAAAACATAGTTCAGAAGTGTTAAAAAACTATCCTTGGAAATTGTATAATTTTGGATGAGATTTCATTTTGACTGTATTCTACTACTGACCAGATCTATTGGTATGTTAGTAAATAACGATATGACATCTAACGAAATTAAAGCATATTCTTTCGGTAAAATTAACTCTCTGACATAATTAACAAATGAAAATGTATCCTTTGCATTATAGTTGTTCACTTCGTCAAAAGCATCTTAAAGAATGTTGGCAAGAAATTTGGATAAGTCATAAGTTACTGAATTTATAGAGCTTGCAATAGGTCTAAGTGGTATACCTTTTTTATGGATTTTTGGTAAGCAGTAAATTTTTGGACAAGATGCATTGTATATAGTCAGTTTTTTGGCAAATTCTTGATTTATTTCTAAATTATTTCTCATAGTTTTAATAAGTTCATTATAAGAAAATTGTATCGTAATAGTTGGATTTCTTTTTAGCTGAAAATATGTAATTTTATCATTTAATAAGCCTTCTGTTTTTTCAATATATTCGGTTTTGTTCATTGCTACTGTACACCCTCCCTTATCTGATTGTAAAATATAAAGATCTGGATGTGATTTTAAGAATTTTTGAATTTCTTTGAATGTTTTAATTAAAACACTAGAATGTTCTTTGTTGGAATGATTTAAGTAGTTAGTAACGACATTAGTAACTTTTGCTCTTAGTAAGTCTTTAGATGTATCCGGTATTGCATCTATTATATTTTCTACATCGCCTAAAAAAATTATCTAACTTAGATAATTTTTTGTAAAATTATGTATTGTAAAATGTTACATTTACTCCATACTGCATATGGTGTAGAAACCTGGACCATAAAGGCCAATGTGATGAACCGATTGGAGGCTTTTGAAATGTGGGTATTTAGAAGACTACTTAAAATTCCCTGGACAGATCACACAACAAATGTCGAAGTATTAAATCGAATGAGCAGAGAACGAGAATTGCTGCCAATAATAAAAAGAAAAAAAAAAGCTGCTTATCTGGGTCATATATTTCGAAATTCCAAGTACCGGTTCTTAAAGCGTATTATGGAAGGAAAAATAGAAGGAAAACGAGGCATCGGAAGAAAGAAATACTCATGGCTTAAAAACTTTAAAAACATAAGGGATTGGACAAACCTCGATGCCCATGCACTTTTTAGAGCCACACAAGATCGAGAGGAGTATGCCAGAATTGTCGCCAACATCCACTAATTGGATAGGGCACCATAAGAAAATGAATATATATATATATATATATATATATATATATATATATATATATATATTTAAACCAGAATTATTTAAACCAGAATATTTAACATCTCACCTGACAAGACGATGTACGGTGGACGCCTACGCAGAAATGCACGGCACCTTAAGAAGAAGAAGAATATATATATATATATATATATATATATATATATATATATATATATATATATATTCAATATTCAATAATCTCAATACTTTTCCCATCCAAACTGCGTACTTCTTAAACAGATAACTTGATTCATTAGTGAATGAACTTAAAAACCATGAAAAGTTTTTATTTTCTAATCAAATTCGCATCAAATATATACTTTTGAATCGAGTACGCTTTCTGTTCTTTTGGATAGCCCGAGAGATTTTTACTTTGTCCTCGTATTGTATTTAAATAGTATCTAATTCTATAGATTAATGTCTAGTTGATATTTTTTCTGAATTTTGCGTGTACGTTACAAGAACTTCCCGTCCCGGATGCAACTGCCATATATTCAATGGGTGGATCGTGAATATCCGTTGCATATTCAATTTTTTTCATTTCTCTCTATACTTACGAGTAATTATTTTTGGCGTCACGCAACGTGCCAACTCCCTGTAAATTCACAGAAATAGTGAATGCACATAATACCTACTAATGTAAAAAAAAAATGAAAAATTAATATCGCGGTAATACATCTTTTCTAGAATCTTCTTGAGATTTATATGTCGGAGCTTCAACACAAGAGGTATCAAAACGTGGAAAGGGAGAAAGGGTATAGCTATTTAGAACCAGACGTAATGCTACGATTTAAACAACTTCTTCTTCTTTACGTGTCATCTCCGCTAGGAAGGTTGGCAATCATCACTGCTATTCTAACTTTTGACACTACAGCCCGAAAGAGTTCAGTTGAGCTGCACCTAAACCATTCTCTGAGGTTTCTCAGCCAGGACATTCTTCTTCTACCTATGCTGCGCTTTCCTTGAATTTTTCCCTGCATTATTAGTTTTAGGAATTCATATCTGTCACCACGTATTGTATGACCCAGATATTGTAGTTTTCTTATTTTGATGGAATCCAGTATCTTCCTGCTGTTCTTTATTTTTCTTAGTACTTCTTTATTGGTTATTCTGTCTGTTCAGGAGAATTTCAGCATTTTCGATATGTTCACATTTCAAACGCTTCCAATTTATTGAGACATTGTTTATTTAAAGTCCATGTTTCCACTCCATACAAAATAACAGAAAATACATAACACTTTAGTACTCCTTTTCTAAGATTTAGGCTGAGGTCTCTACAACCTAATATTTAAAAGACTGATATATTTTTTGTACACACTTATGACAAGTCAAAAGAAAAGGCAAAAAAGTATTTTTGAAGTGTGTATATTTTTTAATAATTTCTAGCTGAACGCTTTCGGCTTTACAAAGCATCGGAGCTATGGTAAATTTATAAATACCACTACAATGGAGAGATCTCATTTCCTTATTTGTTGAAATTTTGATTTTTTAATTACTTAGTTGTTAAAAATTCTTAAAAAACATACGAAAAAAAACATACGAAAATACAAAATATCCTATTCTGTCTACCTCCTCATAGCAAACAATGGTCGGGTTCTTACAGCCGTACCATGACAAAAATTTTTTAATGTGTCTGTGAAGTCCAGTGTCGATTTTTTCGTATGTTTTTTAAGAATTTTTAACAACTAAGTAATTAAAAAATCAAAATTTCAACAAATAAGGAAATGAGATCTCTCCATTGTAGTGGTATTTATAAATTGACCATAGCTCCGATGATGGCTTTGTAAAGCCGAAAGCGCTCAGCTAGGAATTATTAAAAAATATACACACTTCAAAAATACTTTTTTGACTTTTCTTTTAACCTAATATTTGTTTCATATTATTGAATTCACTTCTAGCCTTTTCTATTCTAACTCTAATTTCTTTGGTATAATCGTTTGTTTCATTAATGTTTGCCCCTAAATAGTTATAATTCTGAACTCGTTCTATCGTTTTATTATTTACGTATAGATTGATGTATCTAATATTTTTCTTTGATATAACCATGAATTTTGTTTTCTTTATGTTTAGTGACAGACCAAATTCTTCACTCGCTGCAACAACCTTATCTAAAATTATTGGCAGATCTATAATATTTTCTGCTATTAGTATTGTATCATCAGCATATCTCATTTCACGTATGGGTAGGCCATTTATTTTGATGCCTGCTACTTCATCTTCTAATGCTTTTTTGAATATTTCCTTTAAGACACCACAACCCCTTGTAACACCTCATTTGATTTTTATTTTATTAGTTTTTAAATTATTTATTCTTATGACAGCTTCTTGTTCATAATACAGATTATTTATTGTTCTTATATCCAGATTATATTTTATTATTAAACAACTATTAGCAACAAACTGTTGTTTAACAATGAACATGAAATTAACATCAGAAAGAGTTTAATTATGTTTATATATATATATATATATATATATATATATATATAATGCAAATAATAAAATTGAATAAAATAAATCAGTCAACTAAACCTCAAAATGTGACATATTTGATTTTAATTAAATATTTGATTACAATCAAGTATTGATTAGCGTTCGAACAATCGGCCCTAGAGTGCTACAACTACTACATAGTATTACAAATTTGAAAAATTCAGTTGATCAAGGGCTGTATAAAACAATACAATGTGCTATTGAGATTCGACATTACTTAATAACTAATAAGGCAGGACACACAATTGAAAACTTGTCTGAAGCTGATAAAGTTGTTCGATGTAAAAGAAACTCGTGGAAACAAAAGAAACAATTATTTAAATATGAATAAGCTCAGTGCAGCGGCGGTCGGCCAGGTGAAGTAGGTGAATGTGAGGTTCACCAAAAAATATATAATTAAATTGAGACAAATAAAAAACAATTAAAGCAATATTATTATATATAAATTCTGAAATTAATTATTTATTCTCTTTTAAGTAATCTAAAAATTAAAAAAGATAACTAGCTTTATTAGCAGAAGGTACTTGGCGGTCAAGTCCTGACCTATGTCACTAGCTGTGTACGATTCAGGAATAAGTGAATATCATTTTTGAAATACGGAATTCATCTGCACAAGCGTTCACGGTTGCCATGGCAACGTGACGTCAGCCTGTCGTTAGTGACGTTTTATCCGTCTTCATCCACTAGTTTAATGTGTACGTAGTATTCCTATTTTTCGGAAATTTTTCTCAGCGACAATATTTTGAAATTTAGAATTTATATTAGAAGTTTGTCTAATTAGTCACAATTAGTCTATTAGAAGATATTTTTTATATTATAGTTTATATAGAGTATTTATTAGTTTAGTTTAGTCACAGTATTAAGTTTTAAAGTAGGTAAATAAGTGCACTTTATTATAAGCCCATCGACTTAATCTTGTTTTGCAACAGAGATTTAAGAAAATATCAAAATGTCGATTTTTTTTGCAACTATTACTGGAATCCCATCGTTTTTTCATAGTTCAGCAAAACGATCGTACGCTCTTGCATCTACATCGGCTAGACGTATGCCAACAATTGCTGAGACAAGATGGTCGTCTAATTCAAAATTAATCAGTCTAATTATTGAAGACTGGGAAAAATTAAAAGAGGTTTTTGATAATATAATGAATTCTGAAGAGCCAGACCGCAAATCAGTTCAGCTGGCTAAAGGATTTGTAAGAGATTTAAAAGATTTTGAGTTTACATTTATAGCAACAGTTTTTAGCGACATTTTTCATATAACAGATATTTTATAGGATGTTCTTCAAAAAAAGTTTTGAGATATTAGTAGATATTAATTTTTGTTTAAACCAGATAAGGAGAACTCGTCAATTAATAAGTGATAAAAGAAATGAAGAATTTTTTAATTCTATTTTTGAAAAAGCAAGCACAATGACGGTAATTAATAATTCCAGACGGTTTAGGTGTGATGATGGTATGAGCAAGAATGCAATTACTATTCGATATAGAGCATTATTTTTTGCAATATATGATCTTATTTTAATGGAAATGGATATATCAGGATTGTGATAAATTAAAATTTGTAAGCTTAGCAGATACAACAAAATTTGAGTCATACAGTGTGACCTTCCCTTCCGACGCTTTTCAAAATTTATTTTAGCTTTATGGCACACAATTTACTAAACATCAAAGACTTAAAAGTGAGCTCTGCCTTGTTTATGCCGACGAAAATTACAAAAATGTGAATTTGCAAGAATTGGTCATAAAGTTACAACCAATTAAAGACATTGTTGCAGAAGCCTATAATTTGTTTTGTTTAATTCTGACAATTTCATCGACAAGCGTTTCCGTAGAAAGAAGTTTTTCGTGCTTAAAGAGGTTAAAAACTCTTACAAGAAACACTATTTCACAAGATAGACTATCCAGTTTGACTGTTATCGCACTTTATAAAGAACTGTTGAATGAACTTATGCAGAAGCATCTTTTCTACGAGGATATTATTGATAGATTTGCCTCCTTAAAAGACCAAAGGATCAACTTGATTTATAAAAACTGGATAAGTTAGTTCTATTAGTCTATCTAATACTGCTTTTTTTGTTTAAGTATATCTTGACCCTCAGTTCTAGTATCATCACCATCATCATTCCGCAACCTCTTGCATCCAATTTTGGATATAGGTCTCCTCCATATTCTTCCATTGTTTTCTATCTTATGCCAACTGTATCGAATTTCCCACTGGTTTTCTCAAGTCATCCATCCATCTTTTTGGTGGTCTACCTTGGTGTCTTTTATCTTCTCTAGGTCTCCATTCTATGAGTCTTTTGGTCCACCTATTATCATTTAAACGTGCTATATGTCCAGCCCATCTCCATTTGGCTCGTGCAATTTTATCTATGACATCTGTCACTTTAGTCCTCTCTCTCTCTCTCTCTATCTCTCTTTCTCTCTGTCATCCCGTGAGAGGTTGTTAGAGCTCCATTGGGCGTCGCCCCAGGTGGCGGATAGGGGAATGCCTCCTAGATATAGGTGGTACCGGTGAAATGAAATACTCGGGGCGAACCAAAACCAGTAAACACTGCAGTGTCTGATCCAGAGTGATTGGCTGCAATCAGCATCTGACCCAGAGTAGATCGAAACTCAACAAACCCGTTTTACCAGGCGTGGTGTTTTGATCGCCAAAAAACCCTCAATGAAATGTCGAAGGTTCAGAATTAAAATACTCCAGACAATCAGGACGAATCGTATCTAGTATAAGTGCCATAAAAAACTGTTATCAAGTTATTAGAGCCCTAAATTCTACATTTTTTTAACGAATTTTTAATGAGATTTATGCGCGACGTAGGTACCAAAACTCCTTTTGGCTCCACCAAGTTACCCTCGTCTTCACCACTTTTTTAGGCCACGAGCCGCCGCTGGTTCAAAGGTTAAAAATAAATAGTCAAAGGCTTGAAAAGTCTAAGCTTTACAGCACTTAATACAAATTGATTTGTATGCAGATTGACACAAAAAATGTAGATATATTATCTCGTCTTCAAAAACGCAAAATTTCTGTAAAGGTACAAAAGCTAAATTAAAAATATCTAAGCAGCTGGAGAGTAAACAATTAATCAGATGAAAATGATAATTAACGAAATGTTTGATCATTCCTTAGATAACGATTTTTTCTCATTTTCTGGAAAACCCTTTTTTCGTTATTTTTGAATTTTTAATAAATCAAACTTGGTTTGTAGTGTATTACTAGTAGAGTAAACGTACGACGAAAATAAGAAATTTCTTTTACTAGTACATTGTATTTAAATGTTCAAAAAATTTCCAAGATATCATATCAGAAGCAACCAAGAATTGTTCTTTAATTCTTATGAAATTGTAAAGACATTATAAGCCATCGTCCTTTATATTGATATTTAGAATAATAATAACGATATAATGTATTAAAACACTTTCGAATACACAATCCTTACATAAGGATAACTAATCACTTTAAAGCTCCCCATAAAATGATTATACCCTCCGAAGTATAGCAAATTGGTCAACGATATGGAGACCCGTAAACCAATCACCTTAGATAGGTAAACTTATCACCAATATTTTTGACACAGGGCACTGGTGTCTAATGCGAAAGATTGCTTGTTACCTGTTACAGTTATTGTTTACGTGGTAATCAATTAAATTCAAAAACTATTTTAAGTTAATTTCATTTTGTTTTGTTATATCGTTGTTTTGTCATATTATTGTATTATTATATGATTTTTTAGATTAGCAAACCTTAGCGGTTTGCAAGCACTGTATGGTCTTTACCTGACACAGGATGCAGGTCGGTCAGTGATCACTTTGCAAATCTCTCCAGGTATATTTTAAAATCCTAGGTTTATTGCGGTGATAATTTTGTAGTTTAGACTGTCGCTAAGGGCATTTATGCTAATTGGTGATAAGTTTACGTGTACCCTGGATTGTTATGCTTTCATTTTTATATGCCGAGGTGTTATTTAAGGATAGATCTTGATTGATTATTACAGAGACAATTAAATTAATTTGTTCGTATTCATATATTTTACATATTATATCATATATTTATCGACAGTATAGAAGTAAGCGAAGCGACGTGTGGACGTGAAACCTAGAGATAATGCTAAACGAGCTACAATATGTAGGAGGCAGTGGATATATTAAATTAATGAACTAAAAGTAAATTGAATATAATAAAAACTCAAACCGTGATACGTTTTCTGGGACGGCGATAAAGATTTTATAAAGAATACTTTCTTCATAAAAATGATCAATAAAGGAACATTTAAGTATGGTATAAAGAAAGCTATAAAAGTAAAAATTAAAACTTTAATACAGTGATACATGCAAACTGTCTATTAAAAAAGGAGAATGAAGAAGGTATGAGAAAATATAGAAAAGATAAAATCTCTGACACGGCACAAGGAACAAGTAAAATAACAAGCTCGTTTTCATGAAAAAATTAAAATTATCACAAAATTAATTTGTCCTACTAGTACTCGTGTATTATATAATATATTTCACTCCTTTAGTATTCTTAAGAACAACCACTTTAAAGGCCCCATAACGTACCATCTACCTGGTGTTCACGTGAACCTCGCGTGAATTTATTTATGGTTAACATGGTCTTGAAGTTAAATCAACTGTAGCTGCAATAAACGTTTTCAACAAGTCTACCTGTTTGTAAAATGTAACTTCTTAAACAATGTACACAAGCAAGACAAATATTTCTTAACTCTTGTTTTGATATTTTAGTACAATTCACTAACTTTTCCAAATATTTATCTTTTGTCTACGGCGAAGTATGAAAATCCCAGATTAGGAACCAAATTGCTTAAAAACGTGTAGTGAGCTTTAACGTCTACAATGTACATTTTCCATGGAATCTAATAAAATATAAAAAACCCAACTTTTGTAGTAGACAAAAATTTTTAAATCTGATTCACACTTTTGCGATTTATCTGTAAGTTTCTATGAAATTGATGACGATACTTTCCACTAAATTTATGTATTTACATAGATTTAGATATACATAAAGGAATCCCGGTAGTTTTATTAATACTAAGGGGTCAAGGTACATATTTAAAAAATACCCAATAAAGAAAAAAATGTATTAATGATAGATCGAAATATGGAAAATGAATAAATTATTAAAACAGGAATACATGCTATAACAGCAAATTTGTTAAATACCTTTCATATAGAAAAGACATATCACAGGGAAACAGCCGACACGATCAAGAAACAATGAGAGAAATAAAACAGAGAATACGATGTAAAACATAGGTACAAAATATAAAAATTATTAAAAAGCGAAATCACGAAGTGGGGAAAAATAAAAAGACATTTAGGTAACAGGTCGCAGTTTCTTTCATATTAGGTCTTGTACCTACATGGAAAGCTCTGTACGTACGAACTCTTAATACCTCATACTCTTGGGATTAATAAGAGCTCTACGAAGAACTGAAAAACTACTTCCAACAAGGTTGTCCGGCCGACTAAGGAGCAGTTATTAGTCCCCCTTAGGAACTCAAGAATATGCGGGAGCAGGATGCTGACAATAGTAATGTTATCATATCACTGAAACTTCCCATTTGAAGTCCAGTCTACCAGAATTACTTCCGACGAAAAGATTACAAACGGAACAAAACTGTAACTTCCCCCCAAAAATTGTGGTGTAAGAATTTATTAATTAAAAGAATGTATGTACTATATGGACAAAGTGATGTATATAGAAATGAAATAGGACGTGGAGTGTAAGTCACCCAGTCAACATGGAGTCTTTGGGAGTCTCTATAATCTCATCTCATAGTTATATATTCTGAATTTATTCAATACATGCCATAACCTTTTAGACTTTTCTTTTCTTTCTCTTTTATTCGTGTTGTTTTGTTTTTAAATATTATAATATGTATCAAAAAAATGTGTGTCTTTAGAACATGTGCTTTTAATACAAAATCATTGGTTTGCAAAATGTTTGTTCATGAGTTAATTGTGTGCTGCTTTTATTGCTCTTTTTAGATTTCTATTCATTCAGTTTTTTTATTTTATGAAGAGTATTTCCTACAGAACAGTTAAGACATCGAAAAGATACAACTAAGGAACAAATACAAATTTACGCAGTTGTTCTTCAGGAGTTTCAGAAGGATTTTGTTACTCAAGGAAAATTTTCAGAAGAATTTTTGGAGTTATTGAAGGAGACAGATATAGGAGAAGACCAATGTCGAAATCATTTAATGAGTTTACGGAATCCAAAGCATCAAAATTAAGCTGGTTAGAACATTTAGAA